CTGACGTATCAAGCATGGTCAATCTCTATGATCCTTTCCATATCATTCAAATACTTTGGATGTCCTAGTTATGTCAAAACCTTCCTGGCTACCTCCTCTCCTGGGCATTCTATTAAAGCCAAGCCTCTTCTTCTTCCTACCACTACCAGAGGTTCCTTCCTATGTAGTTCTCATAAGTGCTCTTTCAATCCTCAGGGTTGCCCTAGTCAGATTCTGATAGTTCTGACAGTTTTTAGCAAACTGCTATGTAACAACTTCCTTTTAGACCGCCTAATCTTTCAAATAGAACCATTTGGAACCACTTCTCAAGGCCTTAAGTTAGAAAAAATTCAAACTTTAAAATTATGTGAATTCAGGTTACTATTTATGTAATCCTAAACTTAGGCCAAACTTTAAAAAATCTTAACTAATTCTAGAAAAATTGAAATGAGGTGATTCTAAGTTCTACTTAAAGCTCTTAATATGGTCTTCAGAGGAAAAAAATACTCTCTAGTATCAAGCCCTTGTCAATTATTCCCAGAATTCATGCAAAGAAGCATTGTTCGTTTGGTAAATTTCTAATTTTTTAGAATTTATGCCTAATTTTGTATAAGCATAACTTTTTGTACAAAACTCCAATGATGATGATTTACCTCTTGTTTTAAAGCTAAAAATATGATCTATATAATTGTTCATATTGACATGAAAATTGGCTATTATTAGGGCTATTTCATACCATTTCCATGCCTTTTCTTACAAATTCTCTTCCTTAACATCATATAATTGTTCCATTCACATAGAGCAAGTTCAAGTACAGTATTTCTAGCTCTTTACAATTACTAAAGGTCACAAATACAAGTATTCAAACTACATACAAAATTATTACAAACTTGCATAACAAAGTTTACATAAATCCATGAATAAGATAGGCATAGACATCCTTATTCCATCATGATCCCTTTGCCCTTCTCCTTGGATGATCCACACTACCACAATAAACACTTTTTACCTCTGTTCTATAAGCCTTTTTATGTCTTCTTTTTAGGGGACATAAAAATGAGGGACGTAGTAAGTATATCATGTAAGAATGGCTGATCACCCAAGAGGGGGTGAATTGGGTGTTAATTAAAATTAAAAACCTCTTCACAATGTAATAAAATTCATAAGAAATTCTGAGTATAAAAACAATGAATCGACATAAGCATAATTACAGTAGTAAAATGGTTTAGCTGGAAATATAAGAAGTAAGGGAAGAGAAGATGCAAACTGTGATTTATCCTGGTTCGGTCCTCACTGACCTACGTCCAGTCCCCAGGCTCCCCCTGAGATTCTCAATCGACTATCTCCCTCAAGTTTAACACGGGTACTTGAGAACCACTACAACCACAAGTTTGATTCGGGCACTTGTGTTGCCACTTACAATCCTTAGACTAACCAGTCTAATTCAACAACAACCTCTCACTGAGGTAATACTCCCCCTTACACACCGTAAGGTTACAATCTGATAATGATAAAGAAGATTGAATATTTCTTCTCTCAAAGAAGTGATAGATGAATCTTAAGCACGTTTGGGAAACTCTCCTCTCTATCTTACGAATACATATGTTTTAGTCTATGAAGTACAAAGACAGGGAGTTTTCTTTAGGAGCTCTAAACGAGAATATGTTGATTCGGCATTTTACCATTTGATGTTGTAAGCTCAGACTCTTCTCCTTTTTCTTGTTTTGAATGCTCTTCTATTTATAGATGATATTGGGTACTTGACCGTTGAGCACTTTCTTCCCATTTGGCTTGAAGAATATGACCGTTGAAACTAGCCGTTGGAAGCTTCTAACAAAAGTTGATTCTTCACATCATAAATTCATTGTGGCTCTTTACCTGAAATAATCTTCCTCAGATCAAGTGATAAGTATATGATAATCTTTGAAACAATAAGTTGGAAAACATGGAATCAATCATCAGATCTTCAGATATTCAGAAAGTAAGATGAACTTACTTAATCGATGCCTTGATCGATAATCCTTTGATCGATTATATTATCGATTAATTATATGAAGAAAAGATATAGCAGATATATGCAATTATCGAATAGATTATGGATCATATGATGATCGAACAAATGATCGATAAATGATGAAACATGTATGCAGCGAGCTTTAAATGGATTATGCAAGGATAATCTTTTTCAAGTTACGTTTGCCTTCGTATCCTTTTAGTAGAGAGTTATGTGTAAAAAGAAGGCTGAGAAAAGCTTAAAGATAAAAAGATAAAATATTTCGAAATCATCGTGAAATGCTGTTATGAAATGAACTTGTATAATGATCAAACAAGTGATCGAACACTTGTTGATCGATCAGGTTATCGATAAACAAAGTGTTATAGAACATAGTTTAAAGTAATAATTTTCGAACATATTATCGATAACTAGATGATGGATAACCTTATCGATAAACAATAAGCAAAAGTATATTCAGTGAAAACACAGGTTAATCGAATAGGTGATCGATTAAGTAATGATCGATCAAGTGATCGATAAAGAGGTTTAATCCTGCATAGTCAAAGAACTGAATTATCGATCACGTTATGTGAAAAACAAGGCAAGCATGAAGTGCTGTGATCGATCATATTATCGATAATGTGATTATCGATCCGGTGATCGAAGAACCATGATTTAAAAGCGATGCGCTGATTATCGATCATGTGATCGATAATTTGCTGATCGATCAGGTGATCGATAAGCTACTGAAATAATTACCTGCACGCAGAGTTATGACGCAATGTTCGATCATATTATCGATAAATGACTGATCGATAAGGTAATCGATAAATGGAGACTAAAGCAAAACATAGAATGAGTAGAACGCATTACCATTTATCTGTCTTCTCATCGATAATCTATTTATCGATCATGTTATCGATAAATGCCTATTTATCCATAACATTAACCTTGTTTATCGATCAAGTGATCGATAAATACATTTATCCATAACGTTATCCGAAAACCATTTATCCAACAGGTTATAAAATCTCAATAATGCATATGAAGATAAAAGAGAAGAATTGAAGAGATAGTACCAGGAACTCGATAAAGTGATCGAGAATGTAGTTGCTTGATCAGGCTCGAGTAACATCTGATAATGGCTTTTCATTTCCTCATTTCTTCTAGTGCTTTTACTCAATAACATGTTTGAGTAACATGTTGCTCGAGAGCTTAATCAATCAATGTAGAACTTCTGGTCTTTGCCTCAATAAATTCGAATTCTGATTCAAGCAGAACGAATGTCAACTTTGAGTGATCATAAATCTTCCAATTCTACTCCAAATTTTGCAAATGACCTATCCCCAGAAAGCTCTTTGAGTCTAATTTCTAATGAAATAAGAATCACCCCAAAATTCATTGTGGTTGCAAAGTTATCTTCATCACAATGACTAAAGGTCGGAATAAAGGCGTTAATCCTTACTGCAATCTTTCGAACAACATATCTCCCTCATATGAAACTCTTTAAAGGTGAATTTGGTGTCATGAACCGTGTTCTGAGTCTAGTTTCATAGGAATCAAGTTTCACCTCAAACGGATTTGTGATTTGAGAGATATTGAAGAAATACCGAACCTATGTCAGAGCTGAATGAAGAACAGAGCATAACAGAGGATGTATTTTATCGATAACTTGATCGATAAATGGATGATCGATCAAGTGATCGATAATTGCCCATGAAAATCACCTCTGAAGCTTATTTTCCATGTTTATATGAAGGGTGACTCAATATATGATGATATAACTTCCCGGTTGTATATTTTAGCTTCCGACTGAGCCATTCAAACTTCTGATTGAGTATAGCAACATTTAACATCAAATCTATGAACTTGAATCTTGATATTTTCATTTGATCTTGCAAGTTCTTCTTTTCTCAATCTCTCTTCTTCTTCTTCCTCTTGATCATTCTCCATAACTCAAAGTGCAACATAATAACTCCTTTCTTTTCTTGAGGAAACTACACAAGATAGTAAGTATGATAGTTAGTCAAAATATGAGATAAATAATTTATGTAAACTTTTTGCTCTATTATTTGACATCATCAAAACTAATCATATCTAACATATCATTTTTTTACGTCTATTTCGAACAGACGTGAAAAGAGGCACTTTTATCATCTGTTTTGCTCAAAATAGGCATAAAAAAACATATTTTTAATGTTTGTTTTACTCAAAATAGAAGTAAAAAGTCTTACTTTAATTTTAATGTCTATTTTACCCAAAACAAAGGTAAAATTTAGGACTTTTTACCTCTGTTTTGGCAATAAGGCTTGTTTTGGATTGGAAACAATATAAAAAATCAATAAACGAAATCATCCAATATCAATTATAATATTAAGAAACAACTAAGAGAAGTGAAGTATACCAAGAGGACTATAACAATACAAGTTAAACAAGACAACAAACCATCCTCACTTAACTGGAACTAGCAAAATGCATATTGATTAGTGAAATGCATACAATTTTTCATGTTTCAACAATATGTCCTTGTAACACTTTGAACATATATTCATGATAGTAGCTCTTTTGACAAAGCGATAGTTATTGATGCAAAGCATTGGCTTTTCTAGAGTTTGGCATCCTATCTCATCTTGAGGCTCCATTGATTAATGACCACCTGCAAATAAGTGCATGTTTAAGAGAGCTTCTGATGGGCCATAAGTAGCTTATTTTGACGAGAAGCCTGATTCAAAAATTTGTGCTTGTTTGGGACAGCTTGTGGGCTACCATGCCTAAGGGCTAAAAAGAGTGAAAACGCACGATTGAAAATAAGTTGAGGGAGGGAGCTTTTTTGAAGAAGTAGCTTATAGACGATGGCACTCAGGAAAAGGCTGCCAGTGCCTCGTGGAGGCTTTAGTTGTTCTTGCTGTTTTTGTCATCTTGATATCTTCCATTGTCTTATCTTGAATCATAGTTTTTTTTTTTTTGCCAAAATCTTGAATCATAGTTTGAGATCCTGGGTGGTATTTTTCATTTCTAATTTAAGACTTGAGTTAATTTTAATTTAATTGCCTTTTATCATAATTTTTTTAAATTTTTATTTGTCAGATTTATTTATGAATGTGAATTATGCATGTTTCACTTTATATTTACAATATTTTTTTTATCATTTCTCTAATGTTTTAAAATTTAGTTTACTCATTAAATTTCAGTTCTTCATATTAAATTAATCTAAATTTATTATATTATGTAAATTTATTTTTTTATCATGTTTCATTATTTATTAAAACTCTTACCCATTTTTGGTAATTTTACAAACAAAATTACTTTTATTCAATCATAATCCAAACAACTTTTTTACCCAATCTAATTTTTACAAACTAAATTTTTTAAACTCCAATACAAACATAATTCACCTTATTCAATTTAACTTTTACCCAATCTTACTTTTCTAAAAATCAATTAAAAATAAGCTACTTTTTATACTACTAATCCAAACGGACCCTAAAGAATTTTGTCACCAAACCAAACTCATGTTTTAAATTAAGAAACAAACAAGGGGAACTAGCATATTGGCTATTAGATGCTAAAAGAACAAGCATTCCAACATGAAACAGATTCAAATTGACATCATGTCATACAAATCATTTAAAATGAGTGAAGCAGAAATCAAAGCCAAACAAAAGGCTTCTAAAAAGGCCAATACTTATCACCAAAGAAGAAAGGTCAATACTCTTCATGCTCATCCTAGCCGCTGGTATTGAATGTTGCATCACTTAAAATGTTTAATGTTGTGCTAGGGAAAATTAACATGCAATAGCATTCCTATTGTCCTGTTAGTCAACCAATGTAAAAGCCTTTTCTTTATCTTGTCTTAACCAATGGTGAAAAGATCCAAGCATCAATCTTCCATAAAGTTAGAGAACTAATTATCAAATCAATAGCCACTATTCTTTATTTTCACCCCGACAGAAAAAGAGATAGACTAAAACTAAGAATCCAAAAGAAGTTGAAGAAATTTCAACAACCTCCATGTAAAATCCTATGGCTTCTCAACCCCACTAATTAGTTACAATCAAGGCCATACCACTATCCAATAAGATCTTGTATAAATTAAATAAGCAACATCAATCTATAAGATGATGTTGATCTCAATCTAAACATGTATGACATTATGAAACCTATAGGATCAGAGGTGAAGAGGTCATCTTCAAAATACAAGAAAAATAATATTGTTTTGTTCCTTCCTCCCTATTATCTCTTTTATCCTAGTAATATTATTCTTGTAGGCAAAAGAAGGGATGAAAGGAGGGCAAAAGAACATATTAAATTACTAAAATATACTTACTAAAAAGAACAAATAAAGGATGAATCTTTTACAGAGTCCTGGAATGAATTATGAATATCAAGACTTTAGCATGCCAACATGCCACAACAATCACAATATGTGAAGCAACAATAGAAAAGTTACCCAAAAAAAAAAAAAAAAACTAATGCAATACAATATTATGCATAGAAAAGAGGTGAGTCTTGTTATGAAAAGATAGAAGTTCATATACTCTATCCTTCATATCTATAGCCGCTCCTATAGAAACACGAAGCGCTCCAGCCCTTGATATCATCGTCGTCCCTTAGCCAATAAAAAGCCCACTCCATTCAAAATAATAAGGATCTGTAAGATAAGAAGACATGGAAACTTCATTCTTATTTTATAAGAGAATTCAATTTTACTTCAATGGAATATTTTACCTTTAATAAGTTTACTTTCATGAGAGTGTATAAATCTAACTAGAAACACGCTTTAGATTCATCAGTAAGTTTGCATAGTTTTTACATTATCTTGTATAGTCTTTTGAACATTTTCTTAACAAATCAAGTTCAGGATGATAGATATTTAGTTTTTACAATTTAATGTATAAAAAATCCAATGGAAAATAGATGTGTAAAAGATCAAAGAGCAAAAGGAAAACAATAGCTAAATTAAACTAGATAATATAGAACCAATGTAATTGAATAAATAGATTTGAGGATTTTTAGCTATCAAGACTTTAAATCATGAATATTTGCTAGGTGCTACTGTAGACAGAAACTTCCCTTTTATTTTCAATTTTGACCATCCAATCATATCATCAAAAGTAGACAATTTAGTAAACTAAGAGGGAATTCTTAAGCAGTTAGTAAGCACAAGAAATTAAAAAAAAAAAAACCAAAAACTGAAATATTCTAATTGGTGAGGAATAGAGGGAAAAAAATCAGAAGCTGCAAAATGAATGACACCATGCATTTAGCAAACATGTCATTTTCACAGAAAAAATAGTTTCCAGTAGTTCCCCCCAACAAAATATAATGATGCCCACACATCTGATGACACCAACTTTTGAAAGCTTTTATTTTACTGCATTCATGAGCATGATTATTAATGCACTTAATGGGTTTCTAAATTTGGGGTAGATGCTATCATACCTCCTTTATTACCTTATTATATAGTAATTGGAACCCTTTAGGATTATTATATAGGCCTTAGGTATGAGAAAAATTCAAATCTAAAATTTTATTTTCGGTTTACTATTCACTGTTCACAGCATTTTGGGCCAATTTTGAAAATTCATAACTAAATATAGAAAAATCAAAACTAAGTGGTTCCAATTTCTATTTGAAGCTTGTCATGCCTTCTATAAGGAAAAAAAAATACTCATTGGCCTCATATCTTTCTGAAACAAAGCTAAAAAATTTGATAAGTTGCACTGTTTATTTGGTCAATTTTTGAATTTTCAGTATTTTAGCCCAACTTTGAAAGGGCATATCTCTTGCCATAAAACTTTAAATTTAGTGATCTACCTTTTGTTTTAAAGCTAAAAATGAGGTCTATAATCCTACCAAATTTCAAGTCCAAATTCGTCCATTTGCTCATTATTTGATGTGACACAAGATTGCCCTTGTTTTAGGCATTGTTATTCCCCTAATTCATTATTTCTTGAATTTCTTTTCCTTTTTCCATGTACTATACCAATCAAGCATTCCATCATTCATATTTCTAGCATCACAGAACATTATATTAACATAGATACAAAAAGGGCATTGTCTAAAATTCATTACAACATCATCATAAAGTTCACCAAAATATTACATTTGTTCATATGTCATCACAAAATCCATAATGCTCCTTTAGCCCAACACCAATTCCTTGCCCTTATCCAATGATGAGCCACTTCTTATTTGATGCATAATTTAACATGGAAGGGAATGAGATTTCATAGAAATCTTAGTAGCAATGAACTATAATTCTCATGTAAATCAAGCAAGATATAATGTGACTTGCTTTAGAACTTCAAGACATCCTCAAATCACATAAAATTATGTCTTGCATCATACCCAAAGAGGAATATCAACACTTTCATATTAACATATTTACATGCATTTGGCCAAAGCACAATCAAAGGTCATCAAATCAACCATTATCACAACACAAGTTCCTCAATTTAAGCAACTAACATAATCACATTAAACAAGCAAGATAAATACTCAAATTATAATTTAATGCTACCTTTCAATACTTGAACAATTTGGTCTCCTTAAGGAAATATGATTCTCCTTGTTTTCTCTTCTCAAAGCCTATTAATCCAAGCATAAATACAAGCTATATTAACAATTATACAACTTGAATACAATACTTCACATTAAACCTACTTAATTCCTTCCTTTTTCTTTGATTTTTAACAAAATTGTTCCTCCTTTGATTTCAATAATCTCTTGGCTCATTCCTACACAATTTTTCATGTAGAATTCAAATATCTAATTAGATTTTTAAAAATCAAACTCCTTCCCTTTCAAATTATTTTGGCTGAATAGGGGGCATAGGTGTTCCTAAAATTCTATTTTTGATTCTAACGATTTTAAACACTTTCCTTTAGTATATTCCCACACAAAAACACATTTTAAAACCATTGGAATCATCAAATCATAGCAAAACAAACTCCTACACCACAAACCCCCTTTGGCCGAATTTGTGTATACGAAACCCTAAGTTGGTTTTCTTCCAAAAATTAATCCATACAACACTTAAGCATGCTTATTCCACATCATATTTAAGGTTTCTATTTTCTTAACGGCCAAGCATTTAGAACAAATTGGGGCGACATTTCTCATTGGATTTTTAGGCAAAAACCTAAGCAAAACAAGCTTTAATCTCAGATGATTCCTTGACAAAAGCTTGCTAATTCCTTGCCCCAAATCACTCAAGAATTTTGGTTTACAAGTCTAGAATTCAAATGGACTGAACCTCCCTTTAGTTTTCCCAATTTCTACTTATCTTTGGTATTTTGAGGGGGAATTTATAGGCAAAATATTCTTTCATTTTTCCCTCATTTTGGATGACCAAAGTGCCACCTAAGAGGGGCACTTGGCTGCCATTAAGTGTAAGAAACATTTAGATCAAGCCATGTGTCCATTTGCTAGAATATTTCAAGATTTTTACATGAAAATTGGGCTTTATTTCAATTTAATTGAAGGGTCTAGAAACTGCACAAAATTAGGCCTCTCCTAGGCCCAATGTGGGGCCCACTTATGGTTTAGGATGGCCCAAAAAAAATAGCTCACAAATCAAATCACAATCCCAAACAATTTTGAAACTTTATCGGTTACTATTCACTAGTAACATTCCATAATTTTTTTAGGCCTCCAAAAATTTATTTCTCTTCATGAAAAATCCCTTTTTAATATAAGGATATGATTTGAAAATTTTTAGAATTTTTCTCCACCTCTAACTATTTATTTTGAATTTTCTCCGATTGGGCTTCTATCAGTATAACTACGAGAAAATAAATTTTCTAAAATTAATTATTGTGCTTTCAAGGTCCAAAAATAATTTTATAAATTAAAAAAAATATTTAGATAATTAATCCATATTTTTTCTGGAATTATTGAAGCTTCAAACTAATTAGAATAATTATTTTTCTCTGATTTTCCTCTATTTTTTAAAAAAACCTTCGTATTCAGGAAATTTCATAATAATTCATTTTTACATGATTTTCACCTTTAGGGCCTCCATCAAGGACCTAAAACCTCTAATTCACACTTTTATTATTTTTTTGAAAATTTTCTAGAAATTTTCTCATATTTTTCTGTTTTTACCTTTTTAGACTGATAATTTTAAAACTACTGGCCTAAGTCCTGTTGGGGTTTCATATCAAAAGTTGTTTCATTCATCTGTCTACTTTCTATATTGGCACTCATCCTAATTTTTAACTCCCTATTGAAATTTTTGAGATGTGACAGATGCTCTATCCACTAATGAAAAGCTTTAGGCACGCATTCAATATATGAAAATGATCTTCAAGTCTTGAATAAATAATTACAACGTTCATATAACCACAGAGCATAGCCGCATCCGAAATTTTTCCATTCAAAGGAAGGAGCTATCTAATTCAATATCACCTATATATAGCTCCTTCAAGTGTTCGAGTTATCCATCAGATAAAGCTGCATAATAATCAATGCTGTCAATGAATCTTTTTCCTTTCAAGCAAACCCATCGATCATTCATGATAGAAAATCATGCATCATTTATTTAGCACGGATAACCGTTTTCTTGTCAAAGTTTAGTCAAAATCACATAAGGAATCCATTAATCTTCACTATGCACAAGTTTCCAAGGCTGCCAAAGAAATCCATTGCTTAAATCGAGTCTTATAAAGCAAGAACCGTACCATCTTAGTGTTCGTGATCTTTGTTAGTTAACAAAAAGGCAAAATCCAATTAATTTTAGGAAACAATCGTAAGGAAATAGAAAGTATTTAGTTCCTAAGAAATACCAAAAATCAATATAACAGAAAGGGGGTGAGAATCAAAGAGCAAGAAGCATTTGTGACATGGTGATGTTTGGGTTTTGAATTTTACTTCTGTATGTGAACTTTGTCTCTAATCCATCCACTCCTACTCTCTTGACTTCACTCTCTCCTCCATCAATCCACAATCATGACTCCATCTTTCAAAATCATCATCTTCCTCCACCTTTCACCACCATAACCTGACTAAAGAATGAGGAGCAGGCCTTGTAGAACCTGTTGACCACAATGAACCAGTAACCTTCAACTTCATCTCCCCATTTGGCCTTCACTGTTGATGCTCGTAAATCTTCTTTAGAGTATGTATGTCGAGACGAAAGTTTAGAGGGGGAGAGGTCGTGTGTCATACTTTCCTTTTAGACCATATGATATCTCAATTAGGATCATTTGGAACTAATTTTTATTGTATTAGGTTGGAAAAACTTGAAATTTACATTTTATTGAATTTGGGTTATTATTCATATAACCCTAACCAAGGTCAAAATTTGAAAAATCATAACTAATTCTAGAAAAATCAAAATATAGTAGTTCTAAGTTCTGTTCAAAACTATTAATATGATCTTTAGAGAAAAAAAATACTCACTGGTATCCAGCCTTGTAAATCAGTCCCAGAATTAACACAAAGTTGTACTATTCATATGGTAATTTTTTTAATTTTTCAGAATTTATGCCTAACTTTGGATAGACATAACTTTTTGTACCAAACTCTAAATTTGATGAAATACCACTTGTTTTAAAGCTAAAAAATATAATCTACAAGTCTGCCAAGTTTTAGCCACAATCTTAACCACTTGGCCAGAATTTCGCTGGTGTGATAATGAGGCACCATTAGGGTCATTTTATCCCTTTTTCATGCATTTTCTTGACTTTTCTCCCGTTTTAACCTCATAGGACTATTTCAATCCGATATCACATGCTTAAACATGATTTCTTGATCAAGTATCCACATACATAACATCTCAACTCACCATTATGTTTGTCACACCTTACCTTTAGACTATATGTTACCTCAATTGGAACCATTTGGAATCATATCTTATGGCATTAACTTAGAAAAATTTAAACCTTAAAATATCTTAAATTCAGGTTCTTATTCATTGTAATCCTTACTAAAATGTCTTGCTTTTCTTAGAGTATGTATTCATAACCATTATGGTTCAAGCAGATCACGACACAAGCCCGCGGATTTAAAATTTCAACATAATTACTCAGGTTACTATTTACTATTTAATTTCCAGATTACAGGTCTAATTTCAAAAATTCATAACTAATTCCATAAAAATCGTATTAAGGTGTTCTAAAATTCTACAGAAAGCTATTTCGATGCTCTTTAAGGGAAAAATATCCAATTGGACTTATCTTTGCTCAATTTGTATAGTTTGATCAATAAATATTACTGTTCATTTCATAAAATCTGGAACTTCCAGATTCTATGCCTCAAATTTAGAAATTCATATCTCCTTATGTACACAACCAATTGAGGTGATCTACCTCTCATTTTAAAGCTTGGAATGTGTACTATGAGTCTGTCAAATCTAATGACTTAGCACATTCGTTTGATAGGTCAAACTGGAGCTACAAACTCACTGCTCCAGGATCTACGTTTTATCCCTTAACATCTCTTTACTTTAATTCTTTTTATTTCTTTGGCATACATAACATGGGCTTACTCTTTCCTATTCATGCTCATACACTCTCATTCATGCCATAACTATTATAATTAATTACATGGCATCATTGGCATCTACAACATAAATTACATAATAGGAGAATTACACATTGAATAATAATATCATTCATTAACATGAACAATTCTCTACTTTCTTCTCCTTGCTTCTCATGTTTCACTTATTCACCATTTTCACTGTCCAGTTTTCAGATTACAGGTGCAATTTTGAAAAATCATAACTAATTCTAGAAAAATCGTATGGAGGTATTCAAAAATTCTACAGAAAGCTATTTCAATGCTCTTTAAGGGAAAAACATTCAACTAAACTCATCCTCATTGAAAACGTACAGTTTATTGGATTAAGATTACTATTCGTTTGGTAAAATCTGGACTTTCCAGATTCTGCGCCTTAACTTTGAAAATTCATATCTCTTCGTATATACATCCAAATAAGGTAATTCACTACTCATTTTAAAGCTTGGGATGTGCACTATAAGTATACCAAATTTTGTAGCTTAACTCATTCATATGATAGATCAAACTAAAGCTTGAAACTAACTGCTCCATGACCTACTTTTTATCCCTTAACATCTCTTTACTTTAATTTTTTTTATTTCTTTGGCATACCTAACATGGGCTTACTTTTTCCCATTCATGCTCATACATTCCTATACATGCCATAAGCTTTATAATTAAATACATGGCATTCACAACATAATTATAACATAGGAGAATTATACATTAAACATAATCTCAATCATTAGCATCAATAATTCTCCACTTCTTCTCCTTGCTTCTCATGCCATTAGTGCCCATCATTGATTGACCTAAATGGTTGGTTAAGGAGGGGTGAGATTCAGGAGAATCTCAGTAGCAAACATTACCCCATACATGCACAAGATGGATGCTAGTGTATGGCATGTAGTTTTTCATAAAGTTAAGTTAACTATTAAAAACAACATTTCCAGTAACAATCATCATGTCACAACATCATTCAAACAACAAATACAAACCAACACATGAGCATACCATGTCAAGCACATAAAGGGTAAGTTCACTACCTTGCACCTCAAGCTTTCCTCTTACTTTTCCTTTGACTCCCTTGTCTTTCCAACCATGTGGGCATTCGGTCAACATCACCAAACATCCTCTTGGATGTTCCAAAGGTCCTAAACATAACCATAATGATCACACAATATATTAGGACCATTCGATTACATAAAGTTCAAGACTAGCTTTCTTGAACCTCAACCCTTTCTCTTAGTCTTAGGGTTTTCTTTCTAACTTTTCTAATATAAATCTTATCATTTCCCATCCTTAAGATTCATTTCTTGTCAATTAGGGCCACTTTAGATGGCCTTAGATTCAACAATACCAAATCTGGAAATTTTGGTTCGCGGTACTGTTCACGCAGAAACTCCAGAATTTTTGCTCAACTTTGAAAATTCATAATTAAATCTATAAAAATCCAAATTGAGTGCTTCCAAGTCTCACTGAAATCTCCATAAGTAAACTTTAAAGGAAAAATAGTTTCAGAAACCAATTCTATGCCTAACAGTACCATAATTGTACGGAAATTGAAACTCTCCCAAAAGTTCAACACTGTTTCCAGATTTCAAACCCTAACTTTGAAAAATCACCATAAATCGTACACATATCCAAATGAAGTGTGATACCCATGTATTTAAAGCTCACAGAGTGTACTTTAAGCATGCAAAATTTTAGAACCAGATATGAACAGTAACTAATTCAAAATAGGTATCAAATCAGCACGTAATTCTTCCAATTTTCACATAGATCCACTTGGATCTACCATGCTTTGAGGTGTTCTAGCAAGATCTAACAACCAAACTCCCTTCCCCACTTATCAACCATTTCAACCAGCCATCAAAAGGGAGAGAAGACAGATTTTTCAACCTTAAAAGAGAAGGAAAACAAGACAAGAACACATCTAGAACCAAGATCTCACCTTGAATCCTTGATTGATGACCAAAGTTGATAGCTTTCCTTGGTTCTCCTTCCAAAACCCTCTCTTTGCCTTGGACGAAATTCCCATCTGATTTAGGGGAGAGATGAGCTCCTTAGTGCTCTCAAAATATCTCATCTACCACATTTAATGAAAGTCCAAGTGTCAAATGCCTAAGCCTTCTTGAAATCTCTCTCTTAATTAACTTAATTCATAATATAATTACATTCCAAAGTCAAGATTCTCTCCATTGGTAGCTTGACACTTGGAAAGCTTTAATTACCATCCATTAAAGGCTTGACAAGTGGCGACTTGTGGGCCAAGTAAAAGGCAAGACTCTGATTAACACTTTATCGGTGCACTTTTACTCCGGGCTTAACTTCTTTTCTATAATTACAGTGCTCTGGCCTATGTAATTATTTTCTGTCAGATCCATAAATTCCCTTTAATTCTAGAGAGTATCTATAAAATTTTTTTAGGCCATAACACTTCCTTTAAGCCTTGCATAAAATTCATTTACTAAAATACCCTTTTATCGGCAAAACCGGCTCTTTAATTTATTAAAGCCACTCCACTGGCCTTTTGGTTGCGGGACTAATTTTATAAATTAGTACAACCTTCTAACCATTTAATCTCATTTTTATATACATTTTTTTTAGGTCTCTTGCTATTTTAAATAATTACCTCAAATGGTATACTTTTTACCGCTAATAACCTCATAAATTCCATTGAAGCTGCCTCAGGGGTATTTCGTCTTTTCTCTTCACAAAAGAGCCTTAGAATATTATTTCCCTTTTTTTTTGGGATTTTCTTGGAATTCTCTGTGTACTCTTCCATTTTTATCCCTGTTGGTCATAACTTTCAGAATTTACAGTTTAGTCCCTGCTTGGACTTAACTTCATATAATCCTCTATTTGAGGCTTCTAACTTAACCTTTGGCCTATATCTAGTCTCTTTTCTCTCTCTAGACCTTCGAGACTTTACTGGAGTCGCTGACCTTGATTATACTGAAGCCCCTGAAAAACTTTTACTTTGCAGTTTAGTCCTTGAAGCTACTTTGACTTCCTTTCTCATCTTTGGGACTTATGCTCAAAAAGGGTCTGGTAGCCTATCCAAGTCAGGCTACTTTTGATACTTCTAGGCCTAAAAGTCTGGATGTTACATACAGCAAACATTTTTCTCGACCATAAACGTTCTATCACCGTGACTCTTGCCGCAATTGGGCATTCCTTGCTATTTAGTGGCTTGCCTCCCTTCTTACTCTTTTGGTTGCCCCAAAGCCTCTTCCTCTTCCTGTTGGCATTATAAGAAGTGCCACCCTGATCTCCCTTCTCTAACTTAGGAGTAGGCTCAATCATCAAATGATGATTTAGGCTGTTCTTCGTAATTCGGCAATCCTCAATGTTGAAGTGCTCAAACTGCCTAGGAGCAATCATCTCCCTTAAGGACTACTTTAGTCCTCTGACCACCTTTTTGGTTATCCACCTCTCATCATCTCGGTAACGCAGGTAAATGAAGTAGTGAGAAATACATCTAAACTTAGCTAAGTACTCATCAAATGACTCGTTATCCTTCTGCTTCAGGGTTAGGAATTCTGCTTCCTTTTCATCCCTGACTGGCCTTGAAAAATATTTCTCATGGAATTGCTCTAGGAACACTTCCCATGTTGCTCTCGTGTTCCGAGCATCCAAAAGAAAAATATTTCTCATGGAATTGCTCTAGGAACACTTCCCATGTCACTCTCGTGTTCCGAGCATCCAGAAGAATCTCGGTATTCTTCCACCAGTGATCGACATCCTTTTCTAGCTGGTAAATAGCCATTTGGGCTTTCTGCTTAGTTGGACAGTCCAGAACTTTGAAAATCTTTTTCAAGCGATTAATCCAATCCTCTGCTACTTGGATGTCAATCACTCCATCGAAGGATGGTGGATTGTGCTTGCAAAAGCTAGTCATCCACTGTTGGATGCTGTCAGGGTCTACTGCTGGCATTGCTGATCTGGCCAATGCTCTGTTGCTTGTGCTGCCGAGGTTTCTTCCTCTGGTTGCCTCCTATCAAGGTTAGCCACTGCCACTACTACCGCTGCTACTATTACGGCGTCTTTTTCTTGTTCCTGGCTAGCCTGTGCTACCCTCATCCCTTCAATAGCCTTTTATTACGATTCTAAGTGATCCAAAATTAATCGTAGCAGATCGGGAGGGACCTTTACATCGTGTCCTGAGGGTCTCTCCGGCAAAGCGTTTCATTGGGTTCTAACCAATTCGCTAACTAAACGAATAGCATATCTAAGGAACAAGAAATAAACAACATCCTTGGATTTCATTTAACAACCTATGCATTCACAAAATAGCATTCAAGCATCAATCATCAGTCATAGCAATATAGTTCAACATACATAGCCATCTTACAAATGTACATAGCCATCAAACATGCCAAGCTAACCTACTATGGTTAGCTGTAACAATACAAGTCCTATATCAATGCTATAAAAGTCCAACTGACTACCCAAAATGGGAAATAGTGAAGCTCTTAAGGCTCTGGGTCCATTAACTCAATATCAGGTCCTAATGTCTGATACAAACGATAGAATTCATTCTTCCATCAGGGTATAAACAGGAGCATATCTGTCATTATCAGGATCTAGTCTTTTGCATCTACTCAAGGAAATGTATTCCTTACAAAGATCTCAAGGGCATCAATGAGATCGTTGAAGCTAGCACTATTCATGCGACTACAAATGTCTCTCACACCATTTTTCTAAAGCCGGGTCTGAGGGAGTACTCTAAGCAATGCTAATATCTAGTCCATCATCTCTAGGGGTAGCATCTTCCCTAGTTACATAATGGTAGAGCTTCCAGACATCCTCCAGATATCTCAGGTATACATGGGCATTCTGATTCTCATCAGTCTTAATGTACTAGCCCCTCTCCTTAAAATCCCTGTCTAGGTCCTTTATGGTGTGAAATTCTTTTATAATTAGAAGTAGTTTGACTTTACTAGGTCCAGCTTCATCATCATCAGATATTTCAATGACCTCAATCCTTTGAGGATCATTGGAAGCAACTGTGACTATATTAGGTGGAGGGTTACTCTCCCATAAGGTATCATAGTAGAAATCTGCTACAAGGCTATAGTCCTCATCCTCATCGAACCATTGAGGGAAAGGTTCTCCTGGTGTCCTCTGGTTAATTGAACCCTTTGAGTCACTATTACGGCCACAACAAGCCATTCTCCTCCGTCCTATATTATAATAACCGAACCATCCAATAAATAGACGGTAGTATTCTCCTGCAATAATATGTCAATTTTCCTTTTAACTGACATATTAACTAAGCAGAGCGTTCTATCCTATGCCAAAACCTCCGCTCTGATACCAAAAATGTCACACCTTACTATTGGATCCACTTAGGGTTTAATTAAAACCATTTTAGACCACCTTGGATGGTCTTGGACTCAAAAATCCATGAAAAACACTGATTTTCATATTTTTACTGTTCATCGAGTAAAAATCCTGTTTTCTGGCTCAACTTAAAAAATTCATAACTTAATCTAGAAAAATCAAAATAGAGTGGTTTAGAATTCTATAAAAATATCTTTGAATTCTTTTTCAATAAAAAATAATCTTATGAAGCAATTTGATTTTAAAAAGTGTCAGGTTTTTGTGAAAGTCACCTTTGTCCATTTGGCAAAAATCCTTTTTTCAGATTCTGAACCTTAACTTTGAAAAATCATTAAAAATCGTGTAGTTAGCTATTGTTAACGTGCTTCCAATCAATCTGAATCTCATGATGTCAACTTTAAGCATATCAAATTTCGTGTAGAAATTCGTTTGGTAACTTACTAAAACGTGGCCCTAATTTGGCATCCTGCTTAGGGATTACAGCACCAACCATAGATACTTATACATAACCAAATACAAATATTTCCTTATGGTTCATCACCATATTTATCCTTGGATTTATAGCCTCCCTTTTGATGATTCAGTCCTTAAAATATTAGGTTACATATGGAGGATGAGATTTCAATGAAATCCCAGTAGCAAGATCAATCAACCAAAACATCAACATGCATCAATTACAAGCATTCCAACCTTTTGCTATTAATGAAGAACTACTTTACCTCATATATGTAGCACTCTAACATGCAATAGCTAAGGCACATAAAGCAAGGAGTATAGCTACACAATCATCATCATCATCATTTAGTTCAACCACATAATAGCACATGAAATTGCATAGCAATCAATGCAACACTCAACATTAAGGTCAATTAAATCTTACTATCTTGATCCAATGCTCTTTGATTTTCTTGTTCTTCTTTCTTGCTTCCACAAATGCCAAACTCTAACATGGCAATCCATAAAAAGGGTAGCAAGAATCATCAACCATTCCACATAAAAATCAATAACATAACTCAAGGACAACCTTTGTCCCTTAAAGCTTCCACCTTTGTTCTTTAAATTTTAGAGTTTATTTCCTTAACCCTAAAAATTCCATCTTGACTCATTCCTACATGATTTTTCATGTAGATTCCAATTATCTACTTGGATTTAACAAAATAAAATCCCTTCTTCCAGTTTCTGCTTGGCCGAACCAAAAGGGTTCATTATCCAAAAATTTCAACTTTGATTCTATGGCTTCTAACACTTGTTCTTTAGGTTTACCCTACACCATTTTTCATTTTGAACACAATGGAAGCCTCAAAACTTTGAAAAACACATCCTAGGGTTCAGCTCTTGCTTTGGCCTAAATGGACCTCATGCAACACAACAAAGAAAACACTCCAAAATCAACCTACAACCACCTGTAACCACTATGATCTATCATGCTTTGAAGTGTTCTAGCAAGATTGAACAATAAAACTTCCTCCCTTACTTATTATAGATGTCAGCTAGCACTAAAGAAGGAAGAAAACCAGAAATTTCAACCATACAACTCAAGAGAAACAAGCAAGGAACCATTTGGAACCATAAACTAACCTTGATTCTCACTTGTATGCTTAAAGTTGATGCCTTTCTCCTTGGTTTCCCTTTGAAGTTCTTCCTTTTCCTCTCTAGCTCTCTCTTGGCCGAAACATATTCAGAAAAATGGG